AAAGTAACTTTATTCGAAATTTTTAACTCGGTTACCTTTTTTACCTTCTTCGTATCATACTTCAGCCGCGAAATGATATTCGTAATAACAGCCATCAGTATAGGAACAATTGGATCGGACATCGCGGAAATCGAATGCGGCCAAGTTTTACAACGAGAAGGTTACAACGATGCGATTACCAAACGCGATCGCGTAAAGCGGTGTAACGGCCCTCTCTAACGTACACACAACCGGACGAGACTGTGCGTAATACGCATGCGCGAGTCTGTTACGCATGCACCTGCTCCTCGACGCGCTCTCGTTGGAAGCTTCTTCCTTCTCCTCGTCCTCCTTTTCTTCTCTTCTTCTTCTTCTTCCGTTTCGAATACATTTGTTGCGAGGAACGATCGGTCGGATAAACGTCGGCCAACGTTGTGGCAGCTCGTGCGTTGTCCGGGGTTAGCGTGGAAGGCGGTGGCTGTGAATCAAGGGAGGCCAGCCTCCGCTTATCGCTCTGCGAATACATTATTGCGCGCCACCGTCGTATCTAACCTATCCCTCCTCCCCACCACAACCACCTTCTCTCGCCAACCGCTCGCCGCTCGTTCCATTCGTTAAAACGAAGCTGCCAGTTAATAAACCGTGTCGGGGGGAGGAGGCATTATTTTCCATCCCCTTCACTCCGTCGCTTCGCGCAAACGTCTTTCCGGGTAACGTTAACGGACCAAGTTTTTTTCGCAGAGAAAGTTTTCCAATTTTTTCTTTTTTTTCCAATCTACGCTCGATTCTGAATTCAAAATAGAAATTCTTTTTTTTTTTCAAAGGGATTTCTGAGAGAAATCGTGAAATTATACGCGCGCGATATTTTAATGCATCGATCCAAATGTTGTGTACTCGATTCCCTCGATCTGAATTGCGATTATTATCTAAATTTCGCAGCCTGTGGACGAAATGGCCGATTCGAGAGAGAGAGATTCTCGTGGGGAAATCCTGTATAGGACACATTACCGAGGAAGAGAGGGTGGTAGTGATTATTTATCGCTCATTATGATACGGTTAGATGGTTGGCCTAGCTGGAATCGGCAGTCGCGATCGGGATAGCGATAAGATCGTGGCCACCGCCTACGATTTATTATAACCCACCCCGATCTCCCTCTTCCTTGTTCGAAGCCTCGAGGAGTAACGTTACGACTTACTTCAACTCGAATGAAATTGACGGGCGATCTTTCGAAACTACTTTCAAAAAAGAAAAATTATTTCGATCTACTTTTAAATCCTCTTTCAAATTTATCTATAAATAATAAATTATCGAAAAAAATTTAATTCATCGAGACTCATGAATTTATATTTAAATAAACCATTGAAATTAACGAAACAAGACAATAATATACGGATATAACTATTTCTTATCGTAGATAATTACCACGAATTTTATATTATGTTAATTTGATAAATTCTTTTTTCAATTTTCTATAATCCAATCTTAATTTTTGATTAAACTTTTTAATTAAAAAAAAAAGGGGAGAGGGAGCGGAATGTTTTTCTACAATCCTCAACTATTGCCATCAGAAATTGGTCTGAAGTTTGATCGATGAAATAATTATCTCTCGATATTTCCAATCGCTCACGAAGAGTTCACGAGTGAGAGAAGAATTGATCTTATGAATGTATATATATATATATATATACACACACACACATTCGTACTCGTGTCTCGTGTCGAATTTCTGTCGAGTTTCCGTGCCAACATTTGACATTTCGGATCGACGTTGACCTTTTCCACTCGCATTCGCTTTTATTATACGATGGCTTTTGTTATTTCGCTTCTTTCTCGAACTCTTAAAAATGATCACATATATATATTTAATTGTACTCTTGTGATTAGTCAGCCAGAGAATACGAGGATGAGAAGAAACTTTATTAACAATGTCATCAAATGAATCATGTTACCAATCCTTCTTTTTTTTTATCTTCTGTGCACAAATAAATCCATCGTTAAAAAAATTGTTCGTTGGCTCGTTCTGCAGAATGCTCGATTTCGCTTCCTGCTTAGACAATACTCGATCGTATTTTTCTCGATTAATAAGGCAGATAAGAACGAAGAAAGTGAAGTAATCGAGAAGAGTTGTGTGAAAACGTGTTATGAATGGAAGCGCGTAATCCGACTTTCGTGAGTTTCGTACGAGATGAGCGTTGAAACGTTTCATCGATTACGTTACACGTCCAATTATTCGATTTGTCGACCGATAAAGCGACGTTTTCTTTTTCTTTTTTTTTAAACGTTCGATAAATGAGAGGCCATTTATTCGTAGCCGTTTGTATTCATAGCCGTTTAACTTATTGGAAAATTAACGAACTCGTGCGATTGGGAAAGCGAACGAAAAGAAATCGAAATTCAAGTTGGATTTTCTATTGGATGTTGGATAATAAAAGGTCTTCTTTCGAGACAATGTGAGACGGCAATAACTCGCCACCCACGCACGGAAGTGGCCGTGAAACTTGCTTCAAACACACTTTAACGTACACTCTTTAATAGGGAGAATCCGATGAAACTGATAGCGTTGAAACGGTTGAAGGTATGCGGTGGAGACAGGTTAAAGGCTGGGAATATGAGTATCAAGAATCTTTACACCTTGACACAATTGTCGAAATGGTCGTATTCACTTGCAGAAAAATAGTTCGCGATAAATAACGTTGGTGATGGTTTAGAATAGTTCACAATTTTTTAAATATTCAGAATTCTGCAAATGAATAATCTTTTCATCAGACTGTAAAGAAAAATAATTCACGATACAAAAAAATTTTATTTTCCAATTGAATCTAGATGACATATTCTTTCGAAGATAAGATAAAATATATGTACAATTCTCGAAATATTCAGAATCCTCGTAATGAAGATGACTGAAAGAATAACATTCGTAAAATGTATTGATGACAGAGAAGAAACTGAGAAAAATAAGGAATCTCCAGTTAATTAGTGGAATTTCTCAAAACGATTGGCTTCCATTACTTTCGACCGTCATTCCTACGATCTCAAGATAAACAACAGAGACACAGTTACGTTTCACGAGTCACAGACGCTCGAACCTTTTATCTTTTTACGTCCTTCCTTCGTTTTCCCCGATCTCTTTCACCCATCCAGCAATACCCCCAGTTAACCAGATACTTTCCATGTTATCGGTTGGCGCACGTCCAATCGTTGTCTCGAAACGAAAACTCCGAGCATGCGCCATAATCCCGAAGAATTGCATCGTTAAAATCGGTGAGGATGCTAGGAGGGATTGATGAACGAGGCAGGGTATGATTTAGTAGCGCATAAACATTACCGCGAGCGTGTTATTAACATCATGCGAATACGCAGCGAGGGAACGAGCGAACCGTGATAGAAAGTTGAGAGGAGTTGTGCGTTCGTTCCGGGCCAACTTGCTCTATCCCCTTCATTTTTCATTTAATGCTCGATGAACATACAGGATTTTATTATCTGCGCGCACTTTCGTCGAATTCATTCACTTTTTTTCCCCGATTAAAATTCAACGACGCCTGTACACGTATAATTATAACAGTAATAAACGTTACACGGATCGATTACGTCTAATTATAATGTTTCAATTACCTGGGAATAATATTTGGACGGAATCAAGCTCGTAATATGATCGTTCCAAGTATTCGTAGAAAGAACATTCGTAAAAAGTATTAACATTTTTTCACGTAACTCAATCACTCTCGACACACGAAGAAAAATTCACACGGAACAAACGAACGTTGTCGCGTTAAAATTCTCAAGAAACGTTAATTACTTTAGGAAAAAGCGATAAATCATGCCTTCCCAATCCAACGAACAAGTAAATTATACGTTAATTCTCGGCTGTCGATTGCATCGCAAGACCAACGTGATAATGCAACCATAAGACGACTCGATAAACACGTTAGTATACTTAAATCATCTCAAAGAGAGATGAAAATTAAAAATTCCACAGAATCGCGTACGTGGATCAAGGAAAAGGGAGAAAAGAAGAAAATACACGTGGTCGGCCATTGCGAACGAAGCTCGGCCGGGAGATGGCGCAGTTACGCGCGGGCCGACGAGAACGCGCACGCGTCCAAGCGATGAGAAACGCCTCGAATATGATCGGACGAAGATCACACGGTGTCGATAACATTGTTCCCTCTCGTTCCATCACTTTTACCCGTTTGTCTCGCAAGGCAATCTTATTCCGTGGCGAGCCGCGTTAACATAGATCCTCGCGCTAGATTCCTCCCCCAACTCCTCGTGAAATCCTCCTCGTTATAGCTCGTTAAATATTCTTGGCGCGTTCCCGTGTGGGAAATCTGTACATCTACTAGTCACGGCGCGAAAACACTTATGGGTTTTTAAAGCGGGACCATAATCGTTGCATCGGAGAAAAATAATTCGTGGGCGAGGCTGCAATTACAATGTAGGCTTCTTGTTTTTCTTCTTCCTCTTCTTCCACTCGATAAACTCCTTCCTTCGTTTCGATTCTTAGTTCTCCCTCCCTTTTGTTTGGATAATAATACGCGTTTTACGATAATGCTCTCCCACCATCGTTTGGAATTTAATTGCCTCCTCTTCTCTCTCTCGTTTATCTCGTCGCGATTGCGTGATTCTAATGTAATTTCACGAGGAAGAAAGAGAATTTCAAGCGTTTCGAAATTGGAAAATGAATGTGGAGAAGAAAAATTGCGCGTATATGAAATAATCGTTGGGATCATTTTTCGTTCCCTATACGTCTCGTATCGTTGTTAGTCAACTGTCATGCGCACACAATATGCGCACGCGATATTATCGCAACCGTGGCAAAGATACTTCTACTTTATCCACCGCTGATTCAACGTGTGATTTAACTATCCTTGGCGTGCAATGCCATTATAAACGAGGCAATTTCGAGGGATTTCGGTAATGCACCGTGCATCGAATAATTCAGGGCGCCGTTAATGCGCCATTATATCGACATCGAAGATTTACATCGACGCTCATTTCGTTCTCTCCTTTTTCTTTCCAGGCAAGGACAGCGTGGATTTTTGCGTGGATTTGCCGCCTGCTGTGCGTGTCCTTGTGCTTTCACAACGTGTCCTCGAAAGCTGGTAAGCACCGATTTTTATCGATCTCTTCGCTCATCGAAACATATAAAATTCACGGTTTCACCGATAATAATTCTCGAATAATAATAATTTTCATTCGATCCGTGGCGTAAAGAGTAAAAAGGAGAAGAGTAAAAAAAAAAAAGAAAGAAAGAAAGAAAAATGAAAAAAAGAGGGGAAAGGAAAAAATACGGAAAGTAAATGTTAGAATCGTTCCCCTCGTGTATAAATCTATCTTAGCTGATTGCCAATTACGTCAAGTAGATGTTTATTCGCGGTTTATCGTCGGGCTTATTCGTGGACGTCCGGGATTGACGGCACGCGCAGAGATATTGCCTGTTGCGCGCCATTCCGCTCGATCCACGAGCACGGTGACAGATTGTATAACAAGCTTGTCCTCTCCTCTACGCTAAAGTACCCTACGTACTTTAACTTAACCCTTTAACCCTTAATTACCTATGGCTAACGCGCAAGTTTTTAACGCGTTTTATTGCAGCGTGGCTCGCTTGTCGGAAACGTAGCGCCAAACGATGCTACGCCAGCTATTAATTTTCCCGCCATCCGTTTAATCTCAACTTTTCTGGGCAGGGAAACGGGGGAGGAAGAGAGGAAGGGAGGGTGAATTTATCGGGATTAGAAAAGGTTAATTGTTTTTTTCATCCTTTGATTTTTCATTTCACACGGGTCACAAAGGTTAAATTAGATCCGTTTAATTTCATCATTAAAATTGATGCTCACATATTTGGAAAGTTGAGTTGTTTCAATTGTTTCAATTGTTTGTTAATAATAATAATTCATCAAAATTATTAGAAACAGATTATTTTTATTTTTTTTTTATTTTAATTTTTCGTTGTCACAGGTTAAATTAGATCCATTTGATTTGATCACAATTACGTATTTGGAAAATTCGGGTTGTTTTAATTTATCAATAACAACAACGACGATCAAAAATTATTAGAAAGAGATTCATTATCACGGGTTATGTTAGATCTACTGATTCGTATTTAGAATTTCACCAAAATTGAGCCTCGGTTGTCACACACTTGCATACTTGAACGTAAATTGTTGATAACAGTTCGAAACTTGAACTATAGATTTCCTATTAAATGACCAGCAGTGTAACGAGAATCAAAGTTAAACTACTTTAGATTAGAGGTAGATACTTTGAATAGACGGGAACGCCATTCCGTGTTCCTAAACTCATCTTTGCAAATTGCAAGAGATCCTCGATTAACGGTCACGATTAAGTCTCGATCTTTCGAATAAAACAATTTCTACAATTACCTCGATCAACCTTCCTCCGAATCCAATCAAAATTCATCAGTAACAGAAAACAATGTTGAGATATAAAGCAAGAAAGGTGAGAAAAGGAATCCTTCCTAATTGGAAAAAGGGAGAGGAGGCGACAACTGTTGCATCCTTAACTCTCTCTCTCTCTCTAAATAAAGTCGAGCTGAGAAAGAGGATTGAAAACAGGAGAATAGTCAACTCTTATCCTATCCTTCGCTACTTCGCCGAATTCGAGCGATCGAAACTCGAGATTAAACGCGTGCCTTCGAGGTAGAGGCTCACATTAAGTGCAATATTACCTTTATTATCTACGTGGAATTACACGGCGTAGAATATCGAATCGAGCGCGAGTTTCTTCGATTTTCATCTCTTCGTTAAGATGATTCGATAATTTTAACGATCGATTTCCGTAATTAAACCGAGTATCGTTGAATTCGTGGATCGAACGATCTCGCTTCACTCGTAGTTTTTATTTCGTGGTTTTTTCGTTCCGTTCGAATTTTTGTTTCGAGTGATTGGATGGATATGGTTTATATAACGAACGAGGGATATATTTGGTATTTTGAGAGAGCTGTGAAAACATCCAGTTAATGGATATATATCGAGGGAAAGGTTATAAGCAAGATTAACGTTAACATTTCGCCGTACAATTATTCGAAATATCAAAGCCGTCACGATATTTCGTAACTATCCTTTTTTCTTAAATCTCCATTAACCATCCATCGTCGACGAAAATCCTCTGGTCACAGATTCACTTCCTTTCCCTAATCTTCTTTTTATATATTTATTCCAACGATGCTTTCGGTCGAGCACTCAACCATTCGCCTCGATCCAGTCGACGAGATTGAAAAAGTAGCTTAAAAACTTGGAAAACTAAAGTCAGTTCGAGTAATTTGTTGAAAATTTTAATTCCAGTTTGCCATTACGATTACATTTTCCATTATTATTATTATTATCCTTCGAACTATTAAATTTTCCCCACCGACGCCACCGATTCCATTCCATATATACGACCGCTGAGCACGAAATGAAGTACAATCGGGTGTGTACCGGTTTTTCGAAAGAGCGTGTCCTCAATTTTTACCACACACTCCCCCGTTTCACGCAACCGTTTTCATCCCGTTTTCACCCATCCCGCTCGAATTATTGCGACCGACTGCACTGTTATTTATCCGGCTTAAGAAGCCATCTTTATGTCGTGCCTTTCTCCCTCTCTCTCGCTCGCTTTGTATGTAGAGACAAACTCGCTCGCTTCGCTTAAACATGGACGCGCACGTAAAATCGATACCGAGTCGAGTAAAGCCACGCACCGGGATCCGTTCCGTACATCACCGAAAATTATGAACTGAACGCCTCCCATATTTCCCCTTCTCTCCCCTCCCTTTGGGCGACGCATGGACGAAAGGAGGGGGAAGTGAGACTCGTGGAGCGTTCGCGTGTTCGTAAATTCGGTAGAACCGTTACGCCGTATTTTATTAAACGCGTCTCGCTATTGTTTTGCAGTGGAATTTTTTGGATTACAAATATTGAAGAGGGAGGAACGAGTATCGTATCGAATGGATTCTTATCGTCATCGAAATTCTTCCTTCTATTTTTGACGAAACGTTTGCGCGTTGTTCAGACACGTTTTTACTTGTCGTCGTTGCGTACGGTATTCGTAAGTAAGAGAGACATGAGATTCTATTATTTCAGAATAGAATTTTTAGATCATTGTTATAAAAGGATAGGATAGATACGTTTTTTTTCTTGTATATCCTCGAAAGAGAGGAATTTAAGTGGAAAGGACAGTTTGTTGGCGAAAGAGAGATTGGAGAGGCAACGCAACACGTATCGCCTCGTTCGAGATATCTTTTCGAACGAAGAAAGTACTCGGGGAGCGAGTCCAGTCATTTCTTGGAAAGCTGGATTAGAAAGTTGGCGAGGCTATCGATAAACGGTGCCGTATCTCCCGAGGACTTGGACGAATGCGAGGATAGATAAGAACGTGTCCGAATATTTGTTTCGTTAAAATAGGTTAGAAAAGAAGTGATAATAACTCGATTCGTACATTGTAACGATGAAATAATTCTCTCGAATCGTTTCCGTGCAGGATTCTTCGATCAATTTTAAGAAGAAAAGATCGGTCGAGGTCTTCGAATCCTTTTGTTCGAAAGGTCGGCGAAGGAAGATGCGCCTCGACGAGATGACATTTGACTTTGCCTTCTCCTCGCGCATACGCTTTTGCTGCCGCTTCGAGGCAACTGGGCCGCGTGTTTCACGATCGCGTGTTTCAATGGAGACGCGGTCGGGGAAAACGGTGGAGCGAATGGAGAGATTTTCTTTCTTCCCCGGGTGAGCCGGGTCGAGAAAAATCGGTTCTCGATCGAAGCACTTTCTACCTATCCGTTTCTTGCCGCAGGCGGAAATTAGTAAGAAAGAAACGAAAAAGTAAATAAAAAAACTAAGTTGAAAATTAAAAAACTAAAGAAACCAATAAAACAAACGAAAAAGTAGATAAGTTCAAAACTAAAAAAAGAAAGTAATGAAACAAACGAAAAAGTAGATAAGTAACCAGCTAAAAAACAAAAGAAATTAATAAATTAAAGACAATTAAAATTGTAAATTAAAAAACAAGAAACTAATAAAACAAAGGAAAAAGTAGATTACTAAGAAGATAATTACTAGAAACAAACAAAAGTAAATTAAAAATTAAAGGACAAAGAAAAAAACTAATAAATTAAAAACAATCTTTAAAAAAACAAACGAAGAAGTGAACGAATTAAAAACTAAAGAACAAAAGAAAGGAATAAATTAAAGGAAATTACCAAAAGAGGAGGAGAGTTCTCGCTGTTTTCGGAAGGGAATTACAACGATTGGAAATTGAATGGTTGAAAATTTGTTCATCGAGCAAATCGAGCGCGAAAGGGTGAAAGCGATTGTAATCGTTCAAGCTTTGCAACTTTGTCCCCGATTAATTTGCCCGATCGTTAAGCGGCGATAAAAATGGAATAATTGGCAAAGCGTTTTTCAACAGCTGGCGATGGTCATCTCTCTCTCTCTCTCTCTCTCTACCCAGAACGGACGTTTTGTGTCACTGAGTCATGTTTCCGGCCAGCCGGATTTCTTGCACCTGTTCGAGCGACTTCAACAGGTTCTCCTCTTCTCCAGCGAATTTTATAATCCTTTTGCAAAACCCTCCAAGATAAGAATAATAAAAGACTCTCTCTCTCTCTCTCTCTCAATTTCTTTCAACCTCTCACCTCTTCTAATAATTCTAATTTCAGACAATTCGAATGGATAAGAGATATTCAAAGTTTGATGAAAGTCGCTTTAAAATGATCGATAAAAAAAGAAAAAGCATCGAATCGAGAAAATTTTTAAAGCGAGATACTCCTGATCGATGATCTAACACGCGAGGCGATGGATCGTCAATCGTTTATCCGCGAAGAGCTTTCGCGCGAAATTTCGTAGCAAATTGTTGTAAAACGATGCAAACGGGTTTCGAGAATGTTAATTGTGATACTTTTGTCCATTTGTTCCAGGCTTGTGCGAGGTAGAGTCGGGCCAATCCAACATCATCCTCGACATCGAGGAGAGCAGGGGAGATGGTAAGTTCCCGTCTTAATTAACTCGTGTTATTTGGGAAAAAAGAATAATGATTTCTCAAAAATTTCATACAGATAGAGGAAAGAAAGCATCCAAGTCATTTCTCGATTCTTGATCTATTTTCCAGATCACGAACTCACTTTTTCGACCCTTCGAAGCGTCCGCAAGAGTCATTCACGTACATTTTTCCCAGAAATTTTGGGATCAAAAATTATCCTTTCGTTTATATTTCAAGAGCCGAAAAATCTCGTATCGAGATGAACGATCCACAATTCCGTTCATCGGCCGGAAGTCATTCGACAACGTTGTTTTCCTAATTTTTCCCCAGAAATTTTGGAATTAAAAATCATACTTTCGTTTATGGCGATATTTCAGGAGCCGAAAAATCTCGTATCGAGATAAACGATTCGTCCATCGACAACGTTGTTTTCCTAATTTTTAGGAAAATTTTTCGAGATGAACGATTAAAAATCGCGATAATATCTCGCGAACCGGAAGACGCGTCAGGATGAACGCGTTCGCTCCGTCCATCGGCCGGAAGTCGTTATCTTCGGAATTATAGCGATTCGAAGTTTGCTCGAAGTTTTTATCGGATTTAAAGCGAGCGAAATTAAAAATCACCGTTTCCTTTACACGAGGATATCCCCGGAAGTCGTATCGGGAAAAAACGCTTGAAAATGGGAGGCCATTCGGTTCGATCGATAAAAAATTAGTTATCCTCCGAGCAACGGACACGTCGTTCGTCTCGTCTTCGATTATTCGCGTTAAATTCGTTCGTGAAATCGTGATATACGTCGAATTTGAAAATACGTATATTAAAATAACTTTCGAAGAAAAATTACGCTCGAATATAAATTCTCCCTCTCGTCTCGATTTTCGATGATAATAAATTTTACTATCTCCCTATTATATTCGATTTTCCATCCCTTTTCTTTGGCACAGGTGTCGTTCCACGATTTTTCATCGGCTCGCTGATAAAAAGCTTTTCGGTTCTCTTAGCGAGATCGTGGAACTCGGCCATTCTCTCGATATACAACCGTTTCTTTTCCCTTTTTCTTTTTGTCTCGCAAGAATGATTAACGAGTCGCCTCTTATCCATCTCTTCCTCTTCATCCTTTCCTCTCTGCGTACGTTTTCTTTTTTTTAATTCGATTTCACGCCCCTCTTTCCATGAGTGATGAAAACATCGTATTTAAATTTATACGTGTAAAAATTTACGATAACAACAAGTAATATGTGCTCTAGGAAAATGATGGAAATTAAGAAGGAAAGAAAAAGGAAGAAAATTCGAAGAGCAATCTTTTCTTGCGTGGAAAAAAAGAATAATTTAGGAGAAGGGAAATTAACCCTTCAACGATGAAGCGCTCTCATTCAATTCTATTTATTTATCTTTGATTTTTTTAAAATATCGCTTCACAAATATAGATTCTCTTTACGCGTAATCTTATAAAGCGTGGAATAACAATCGAATACATTTTTTTTATCTTTTTATCTCATTTTTAGACCATGATCGAGGTTCGACAGTCGATAGAAATATTATTTTCAAAGTTTTCGTAAGCATGGAATGAAATTGGTTCGTGCGAAGACGAGTTCGATTTTTCGTTATTGAACAACGAAATTATTTCTATTCTTTGAGAAATTATAGATGGAGAGAAGGAAAATAAAGATGTAGCCTCGACAAATTTTCATTCTTTCCGCGTAAAATATTAAAATACACAAGTTTTATACGTCTAATTCGCGCGTGAAATCATTTTAAGTCAGCTAGGAAATCGTGTAGAGTTTCCCGTGTTCGATTGTGGAATCGATGAAACGATTTCAAACGAGAAATTATCACTGGACAAACGGATCGATGCAATCAGGGATGCGATGGATGTCACTGACATCGAGATCGAGTTTGTCAAGATAACATTAATTATCTTGGACAGGGGAGGAGGCGGAGAGCATCGTTTCATAGCCTCTTGGCTGCATCTGATGCACTGTATCCGATTCGTGAGCCACGATAAAAGGAATAAATTCGAGTTGAGCATCTTAAGGAATATGTGTTCATTGTTATATTTCGATTCCATGAGGAATAAAAATCGCTGTGCTCTAAAAAGATTAGGATCAACTGCACACACGAATCTAGCCAATTTTACGAACGAAGTCAACTGTGTGTATATCTTGTTTGACATATTTTCATTCTTACACTTCCTTCCCTTGTGAAGTAAGTTCCTTTAATTTTTTTGCGTGTGAACGAATTTAGAGTTTTATTGTTAGGTCAGGTTTCGATGAATGATCCACAACAAACAATATCCAATAATATTTGGCTTCGATCAAAAGTGTAAAAAGAAAGGAAAGTAAAGTGAAAAAAGTTGGAAAAATGGGTACTTGGGGCAGCGATTCGATCAACCACGCACCCGAAATGAAACTATTTATTTTTTTTGTATTTCTTTATCTCGACACTACGTTTGGAACCAAACAGTTATTCGGTTCATTTGAACCGAAGCGATAATAACAGAATTTACAGAAATGTGCGCAGTTGTTTTTTGAAAAAATAAAATATTCGAAGCTGCAATTCGACGAATTTCTTCCCGCTGAAGTTTCCCGTAAAAGTTTTCATCAAAGAGATGGAATACGTTACGTAGTTGGGGAAAGGCGATCGAAGCCAATCGTAGCCGAAGAAAATATATAACGTACCTTATTCTTATTAATTTGAAAATTATACGGCTTCGAAGACGCGATCGTTCCTCCATTTTGCACTTGTGATTATACTCCGCGAAAGTGTGTGCAAGATATTGGAAAAAAACTCGATTATGTATAAATAAAGAACGTGAAAATATGTGAAGCAAGATATACACGCGATTGACTTGGTTCGTAAAATTGGTTAGATTCGCAGCTTATCCTAATCTTTCGAAGAGATCGACGACATCAGAGCACAGCGATTTTTCCAATATTTTTTCCGATATTTATACGATTGTAAGACGCTAGCCAGACAAATCGATCGGTTCACGGCCCCTCGTTTTTCAGCGATCGATCAGAAGACGGTGCCCGAGGAGCTTCCGGTATCTGGCGACCCGTACAACGAGACCACGCTGGAATTGATCTTCCCCGGAAGACAGCCACGTTTCAAACTGAACGGGAAGAAGCTGCAGCTGCTCGAGCCTCTCGACAGGGACGATGAAAATCTGTCGCACGTCGTTTTTCAGGTAAGGCGGCCGAGATACTTTTCTAATTAATCCCTAAATCGTCTCGTACGGAATTGAGAAGACCTATTATTTCAAAGCTAACTCTCCGGAGAATTCGTCACGGTTGATCTTTCTAAAAGGGAGTGAAACCGTTCTTATTAATTATTTCCAATGCCAACTTGCTTAAAAAAAAAAAAAGAAAAGAACCAATCACCGTTATAAGGAACGATCCGTTCTCCTCGAGCGACGATCAACTCGTATCAAACTGGAATCCTACTTCTTCTTGCTACCTTTTCCTTCTTTTAATTCCCCCGTCACGTTCCCCCGTCAAACCGTGGAACACGCTCCCAATGATAGGGGAAAAAATCCCTAGAGACAGCCTCTCTTCTACTCAGACTCCCCCCCCCTTTAACTCGACAATCGCTAATGATCGTGATTGACCGCGCGATTGTCGAATCGATCTCGTTTATCTCTTTTTCTTCCTTCCTTCCTTCCTTCCTTCCTTTCTTTCTTTCTTCTTTCTTTTTTTTTCTATTCCACTATCCGTAAATACCGGACGATCGAGCCGTTAAAAATTATCGACCTCCATTTCCCTATCGGCTACGAAGGCTACGCATGTTTTCCAAACCCGTTCGAGGGGGAAAGGGAGAGGGGAGGGAGGGGGGAAGGCTCTTGCCCGGAAAACGATTCCATTTCCGTGGCCACCTGGTCCCATTTTCTCCGCGAGATCGAAGAAGAAGGAGAAGCGCTTCATCCTCTTCTTGGAAAAGGAATCTCGTTCACGCGTCTTTTCTTTCCCTTTCTTTCGCGGCGAACGAGCTTAGAGCGGCCTAAGGGGTGGAGGGGTTGGACGAGGAGGACTGGATTGAATTTCGTTCGAGCTTTTAAAGGCTTCGCCTCGACACGCCACCTTGTCTTTGTTCGCTTTTAACCCTCCTTAATTTCTTTTCCTTTTTTTTTTATAGCTAGCAACAACTCCTCAATTCATTTTACAAATGGATCGCGTTCCATGTATAACCAAGTTCGTTGTCCATTTATTATTCGGGGCGTCTTTATTTTTATATTATTTATTCGAAACAGGAAATGTAAATCAATGTAACACGTAATCAATTGTGTCGCGAAAGATTTTCTTTAAAAAAATCGTTGCTTTCGTGAGGACAGCTACTACAAACGATCCTAATAATACTAACAAGAATTTAAAATTGGGAAATGTGACAAATTCAATCTGTATTGTAAAAAAGATTAGATTTGAACATTTTAAAGATTATTTTAAAAAATTTCTATATGTAGTCTAGCTCGACATCGGAATCGAGTCTTAAGGATTGACGATCGAAGCATCGAAATACTTTGGTTCCTTTTTTTTTTTCCTCTCGCGCGTAAAGTATTCTTTTATAAGAGACAGAGATAATTTGATTCGATGGAAGAGAAATTAATCGAAGTCCCGTAGTGGTTTATTGGTGTCCTTTCCTTTGGAGAGGCGTGTAATACGATCGATACAGTTATAATTGAATCGAGTTTCACTCGCACGCCGGGAGACAAAACATTTTTCGACATGTTCGAGTTGTGTTTTCTTTTTTTTTTTTTTATACCTTCCTTGTTTAATCAACTATCGTTGTTAACAAAATTAATAATAAAATTAATTACAACGTTCGTTTCGATGATGATTTCGACGATCATTTACGACTTTCGAAACGAAAGAACGTTGAATTCGATAATTTCGATTATGATTTCGGAAACGAAAGAATATTGAATTCGATAATTTCGACGATGACTTCGCTTCTTCGAGTCTTACGACTTTGGGAACGAAAGAGCAAAGGGTAAAAAATCTTATTAGTGGAAAATCCTCGACGGGAAAGATTCGATTCGAATCGGAAACAATCTTGTGCAACAATTATCGTAAATGGTGTAAATTACGGGTGTAAAGGAATCACGATACGGAGATAGATCGGTTAGATCGGTATCCGCCGTGAATCGTGCTTCTTGCCCACCGGTCACGTACGTTTTCTATGATTTCTTAGCTGTCAGAGCGGGGAATAGATCGAGGGATAAGATCGTTTCGATCGAAATTTGCCGTGAACACATGCCGTTATCATATGCACGGTTCATCGATGGAAAATTGATTAGATTTAAAAGGAAATACTTGGTTAAAAGTAAAATTGCATCGAGAAAGCGTTATTAAACGACGCTCTGTAGTAGTTTATGCTTCCGGAATTTTTTCCCCTCGAATTTATTTAGAAAAAACGATAGTGGAGTTAAACGATCCAAGTTTTTACAGACGCCAATATAAAATGATTTCGCCTATCCTCAATTATATTTTCCTTTTCTAAATTGTACACTTTCCGTATCGTCGAGTTTTTATCACTGATATCACTTTTTATCACTGATCCTCGTTTCTCGAATACATATTTTTCAAGCATTTAACACGATCACGAAATTACGATTATAATTTATTTGTTCATTAATTAAAATTCGCTGAATGGTCGTTGTTATTCCTTCTCCTTCCTCTCTCTCTCTCTCTCTTCTTCTTCTTGTACACGCATTCCCTTCTTCTCAATTGTATCTCTCCAATCGCTCGAGGAAAAAACCGATGGATCATTTTACAAATTTTAATCTTTATATTACACGTCTCTTCTTCCTTACGTGCTGTAAATCATCCTACGATATTAATTGAACGCAGTAAATTAAACTGGCGTGCCGTTGAAATTGCGCACAAAAGAGATTTACAGTTCAACTCTAATGAAATTCTCATAAAGAGAGTTGGTGGTGAGTTGGTGGCGCAACGACAACAGCGCCATCACAATAATACGTCGTTTCTAGAAACGAACATCGTTTCGTTTTAATAATCCTTTTTTTGTTTTGTTTTCTCTCCCTCTCTCTCTTTCACAGTTGAGCTGCACGGTGAAACAGACGAACAAGAAACGGACCATACCGGTGATCGTTCGAGTGTCGGACATAAACGACAACGCGCCCAAATTCATCAATACACCGTACGAGACCACTGTGCCCGAGGTAAGTCTCTTAAGCTAGTTTAACATAGTTTCGAACAGTTTAATAATCGATGATAATATCGAAACGAGATCTCGACCCGTTATTCAATGCGATTGTCGTAGAATTTTCAATCGAAAACGCAATCTTTTTAAGGAAAGAGAATGAAAATTCGTTCGCGATCGAATATATAATAAATATCGATGAAACGTTTTCAAAGAATTATCGCACGGATAAAAGCGAGATCACGGTTTCGATCGACTATCGGATATGGATGATATATATATATATATATAGATGCTGCGTGATAAATATAGGAAGGATTGGAAGTTGAAGCGCGAGTTTCGATGCGAAAAAAAGTGGCAAGAGTGGATAACGTGTATCGGGATTGGAATTTATTACGGTTACCGACCGAGTTGAAACACACGGTGGCGATAAAGTCGCGCGGTAATTATAATTAACAACGTGATCCTCGTTATCTTTTACAACAAGGTTTCGACGTATACGTCGCTGGCCACACGGGACGAGCCTCGTAACCGACCATTTTTTTAACTCGTGAATCATTTACTTGGGAAGTTGTGGAAAATGGTTGTTAATTTTTTCTCTCTCTCTTTTGACGAATGTAACAAAGATAAATGTAGCAATGAAATATTCGTAGGATTGGGAACGGATAGAAATTTTCGAGGTTTCTCTCTCTTTTTTTTTTTTTTTATTAAAACTCGTTCTTTTATTATAGACGATAGGAAAAATAAAATTTTTCATTTTAAGAAAGGATAGATAGATGGATAATCGTTGGAATTATTTAATCGTACACGATCGAATGAAATACTGAAATAAGGGGAAACTTGTTACGGGTAATAATTAGATTACGATCTCGAGCAACAATGAGGATATGAATGGGTGATTGAACCCGTCATGGTTGGATGATCTGATCGATTGCTATCCGGAAGTGTGGATAAAGTATAGGGTTTCGTTGAAAGCGCTCGCAACAACTTAGCGGCGTTTAATAAGAAATTAAGAAATAACAAAAGGAGAGAAAAGGGAGTGAAGAAGCATGACGAAGTTAATGTCGAAGCGTTACGTTCGAACGGTCGCTCGATTCGTATTAAAATTCCAAGTCTTTCGATGTCGACGAACCCACCACGCGATGGAATTCTCGTTTGAAAACTGACACCTACGAGAAATTCAGATTGCAGGAAAAAATTGATTTTGCCTTTCAATTATTGCCTCTTTACCAATGAAAATACCGAATAAAAATTTTTTCTACCAATAGATGTAGAGCGTCGAAACTGAGACGACCTACGAGAAATTCAAAAATTTGCAGAAAAAATTTTTCGATTTTCAACTTTTCAATTATTGCCTCGGTGAAAATACCAGTAAAATTTTTTTTCTACCAACGGATGTGGAGCATTGAAACGAAAATTGAGAGTTCAAATTTGCAGGAAAGATTGATTTTTCTTTTTTTTTTTTGGTCCTTAAAATCGAGGCGCGATTAAAGTTCGTTTCGATGGAAAAAAAAAAAAAAAAACAAGTTGATCAACCTTATCAATGATTTTCTTGAGAACTGGCCACTGGTAAATTATCACTTCTTGCGAGCAACGAAGGGCAAAGCTGCTCGGAAAGATGATCGGATTAATCGTAATGGGACGCGCGGAAAGGCTGGAGGGTGAAAGAATTAATTATCGGTGAATCGATCTGCTTCGATAACGATCCCTTCAAACGTTTCTTCCTCTCCGTCGTCTTCACAACAGGTAAAATAAATAGTAAAATAATATAATACTCGCCATTTACTCGGCCGGTTTTCGAGTTTTTACGCGAAGCGATGTATAATTATTTAATGGAGGAAAAATTGAAAAGTTGAAGAGAAGCAGTAAAAGTTAAAGGCTTGTAAGAGGTTGGCCGAGACGATAATAGAAAGTAAATCTTGCAACGATCGAATAGTGCAAACAGTTATATAATCGTAAAGAAAGTTAATTTCGTGTTACGCGTTATATTCGAGAAAGAGAAACGAAAAGTATTTATTATCTTTATTTTATTATCTCGAACGATCGACGAACGATCATCAAATCAGTCAGAAACTCGTTTCTCGTTGCGAAGATTGCTAAGATTTATTGATTATCCCTGAATTATCATCCGAGACTAGACGATTTTGAACTTAAAAATCGTAATTTTCGTGCTCACGAGCGATATATCGCTATATTAATCACGAAACTCTGCCAAAAGTTGAAAGTTTGCCAAGCGGTGTTATACATTACATAATTTATATATCCTATATCCATCGAATCATCTCCTATATCGAAGATAAGAATCTGTTATCCGGCAAAATCTCCAGCCGAGATTGAATTAAATCCCCGAGATCCAAGCTTGTTTTTCCCATTAAACCTCGCAACTTTATCAACGCCCTCGCAATATCGCCTCCCAAACTTGCCGAGATGAACGGAAGCTGTTACACTGGATTTCGAACTTGAATGTTTCCTCGACACTGCACCAACCAATTAACCCGTCCAACTTGTCGTCCAATATCCCTCTGATAGTATCGATCTTGTCGATCTGATCCTCGGATCGCTGCTCTTCGGTTTCCTTATTTCCTCCCTTTTCGTTAAATTTCTTAATATAATAAATCCAACGAATGCAATTCTCTTCTCGAGACCGAGAACTTGAGAGTTAAGCGCCCTCTTCCTTCCTCGACCGAATGTAATTTTCTTATTCGAGAATTCTTCTAGAGATTCGAGAGACACCGTCTCTCATTGGTCGAATTTAGGAACGTTTATTCTTCTTATTTAGCTCGCACACTTCACGGCGTTCCCCCTTAACGACCTCTTTCTGCCTCGTGGATCAACGGTTGTCGTCATTCAACAACAGGATTAGATCCTGTTTGTCAGATTCCTCTTTTTTTCCACCACCGATGGACCGTTATAATAGGAATGGCGCGAATACACGTCGATCGAGCCAGACGTCCACGCGTCCTCTCCTTCGATTCCACGTTAATGCTTATTTTAATGATGCAGCATTTTATGAGCGGCATACGAGCGTGTTATCATCAAGCGCATGCGCTAACGGTACACGATGAAACTGCCACGGTTATTCGGCCACGGTTAAACGGCGCGCGTGGAACGTTGTTATTGTTGTTGAGACAAATCGCGTGACAAAAGACGAGACTCTTTTTGTCCGTTAAATAATTTTTGCTCGCTCGAATCTCGATGATTTTAATTACGTTATTTTTATTCGTTCAACGTGAAAGAGATTGCGAGATTTTTTGAAGAGTCGCCTACGCTTTTTAGTCAAACTATTCAATCGTGTCTCTAATGATGTGAATGTAATCGTTCAATATCAGCGATAATCTACTCGAGTATAGATATCAAGATATAGATTTTTGGTCGACGATTCGAGGTTAAGTTAAGTTAAACGAGAGATCTTCGAATTCTAAAAATTACTTTTACGAATGACGAGCAACGTGCAGCGAATTTGCGAACGGTGTTTGTGAACTGTTTGGTTCGAAGGATTCGTGACTTGAATATAGAACGCCAAGCGTAAATTATTTTGAGAGCTGTTCACGGTTTACTTTCCTATTGATTAAGACATTCGTAGAATTTTTCTTATACGTAAAACGATGCTTTGGAAATTTTAAATTGCGAAAGAAGATCGCTATTTGGAAAAGATATTCGAATGGATACGAGTAATAGGAATTAACCGTTAATGCATATGCATGTATCCATCTGATGATATTTTCGTGAACGAAATTACTCGTTCCATCGCGAATTAAAATTCTTACCGTTAACGTTTTTTCCCCTCTTATATTAATATGCATGAGGCTCAATTCGCACTTGTTTATGCTTATTGGATATTCTGCACTCGTTGATTTATTATGATACGCATATTATAACGTTTTATTAGAAGATCTTTATCGTTTATCCGAGCTTATTTATTTCACGATCGATAAAAGAAAATGCAAATCAAAAACTTGGAATATTTTCGCAGAAACTCGGCTAACCGGAATCCACTTACCGCATCTAATGCACGAACATTGGACAGGCTTAGATCTCGAAACGATTAATTATAACCAGATTGTCCGCTAATGAAACGGAACCGAAAAATTTGAATAACGGTATTATTTATCAGAAAATTTGAGAAGAAAAAAGAAACAGCGAGAACAAGCGAGAAATTCTTCCAAAGGCGTTGCCTCTTCCATTTTCCGTTCCGTTTTTCAACAAAGGTATATTTCAACCGCACAATTAGGGACCGTTAAAGGAACGCAGAAACACATTTCCAGAACGGTTGATTATCTTCGAATTAATAGGCTGCTTGTATCGTACAGGGAGCGTGGAAACGTGGTGGAGGCCAGAAACTTTCAATTATTTCACAAAGCAGCGTGACCTATTCGTTTTCAATTGCGGGATCGCAACAATTCCCCACAATTCCCTCTCGTGATCCCGTGTTCATACTAATTAATCTACAAGGTTTTCGTACAAGAGAAACGAAGGTAGCTGGATTTCTCGCCTCGATAACTGGCAACTAAAAAATCGACGTGTATACATTTGTTCATAAGTTCGTATGTGTATTGTTCACTGATTGGTCTAATTTGGAAGGGAACGCCTACTTTGCATTTCTTGTTTCCACGTTGATATTTGTCACGTATCCAAAACGACAATCTGTATCTAAACTTCATGATGTATAAGCATAGATATAGAATCGAGAGAATTGTATATATGAAAATGTGTATAAAACTTCACAAATGAAAATAATTTTTATACGATTTTGAATATTAAAATTGTAGCTCTACTACTGTGTAACGTTTAACGTCAACAAAACGTTTGAAGTGGGGATAGATGGTCCTAGCGAAGGACCCCTCTTGCCCCTGTGCCGTCCCGCGAGACTTCTTCCAACAGTGAACAGTATGTACATATGTGTTGCGAAAGGAACGTGTTTCGTGTGTTATTTACACTGATGAAAAGAAGGAAGGAAAGTGGATCTGATTGGTTAATTTAGAAGAAAACTATTTTCACACACATTTTTCTTTCTATCATATTTGTCGCCATATTTGTACCAATTCAAAACGACGATCTGTATTTAAACCTCGATGCATTAGGTATGAAATCCAAAAAATTCTAATTTCTCATCAATATTCGTAGACTAATTTGTAACGATAGTTTATTAGTTCAAATAGTTAAGATAATAATTGTATGTGTACGAATAAGCTAGACATATTGTAGATAGTTTCGAAAATATTTACAACAGTCTTAGATGAGCTATGTAGCGTGCGGTCGGTTATGATTGTCAACAAAGCGTCTAAAGTGGGGATAAGCGATCCCTGCGCCATCCCGCCAAACTTCTTTTCACCAGTGAACAGTACAGTTCTCCACCAGAACCAGTCGCCATGAAAATGTATTTTTCGGGACTGATTTATCGCGAGATTTATCTGGGAAGCCGCTATTCGATTCGAAATGGAAAGCACCGTGATATAATTTCGTTAAGACACACGCTTTATAATTCTTTTTCAGAACAGCGTAGACATATTGATAAAGTTGTTTGAGAATGAAACACAATAATAGTAGATTTGAATATTTTTTAACAAACAGTGTACACGTGCAGGAATTTCGACCTGAAATCGTTTGCTGGTTATAAGAATTTGGAACGTAACAATCTGGTAATGTATGTACATACGTTATAAAAATGGGATTCATATTTTGTATATTCACGCGTGAATTGGACGCCATTTTCTCCCTTCTCGTCATACGACATAAGCGAGCTCTGCGCGATACTCGCGTCTGCGTAATAAAATTTATTTCTATTCCCTTTGTAAAATTTCTATTCCCTTGTTAAATATATTCTTTCTCACCGTGCATTCTTTATTTCAATCGAATCATCTCGATATCAATGTTTTTCTTCTTGAACGTATTGAACGTATCGATCAATCGCGCAGGAATGAAAAATAAAGTTTTTCCCGGATTTGATTTTTCAGTTGACGCCAGTCGGCTCGACCATCTTTAAAAACGTGGTGGCCGTGGACGCTGACGCCGGTGTAAATGGTATTGTTGAGTACTCGATCGCTCCCGGGGACGGAACTGGAATCGGCAACAATGACGGAGTCGGCCGAAATAGAATCACAACCGCCGATGGATACGGTTATTTCAGCATCAACTTGCCTCATCAAGGCCAAGTTACTGTTAACCGTACCCTCGACTTCGAGAGGACGCAGCGATACCTCGTCACTATTTTGGCCTCGGTGAGTGCTCTTTTCTTTTTTTTTTTCGCGTCAAATTGAAGAGCGTATTATTATTGATATATATATATATATATAAAGTTTTACGAGAGAAAGATAAAAAAAAACACGGGCCGAGTTACGTAAGATCGGCAATCTTATAAAAGAACTTTATAATTTTATTTGCGATACATTTTACCCAAGTTTCTTGGAATATCTGTTGCTGGGAAAAATTTATCGAGGAAAATGTCAGGAGTTTTAAAAAAGTTCGAGGAGGGTTAGTGGAAGGAGGAGGACTACGAGATAAGTCTTGCGTTTCAAGATGACGCAAGCTGGAATGTAACAGGAATATTACTCTTTTAGTGCTCTGTTAAAGTGTAAAGATAATTCTCGATCGAAACGTATTACAGGAAACATTTACCATCCGAACGCGACAAATTGAAGCTCGAGGCGGTTAACATTCCCCGCGTAACCGAATCACGTACCTCGCGGTTCCAGAATGACCAACACAAGTTCGGCGTGGAAGAAATGCGTGTCGCGTACGATTTTTTTGTACAATTTATACAAATTCGCGAGACATCGATCAACCGTAGCGTAACAGTGTGCACGAGTTGGGCACCGAAGCTTAACTTCTATCTTTTCGTAAAAATTGGTCGCAAATTCTTGAAGAAATTCGATTTTTTCCAAGGCTTCACGTTTGGATACCATTTGTTCATGGAAATCTCGGGGATGCGTTATCCAATCGGTTTGGGAACCGTTTCTGCCTTCGTTATGTGTATAGCCATGCTATCCGGAATGGTAATAGTTCCTGGTAATCGGAAATATAGTGAGCAGATAGGATTTTGGGATAAATGCGATGTATTTTTGCGAGACACTTGAAATTGGCGAGGTTTAAACGAAAGCTTGACAATGTGAATTGAAATGAGAAGATTAACGTGAGAAAATATGAGGCTATGAGAATGCAAAACGTTGTATATAAAATATTTGTTACATCCGAATGATTTTATTTAAATTTTTTGAATATCGATGATTTTTTTTTCACAACGGTGCTTTCGATATTATACAATCGTCCCTTTTTTTACATCTATTTATAAACAATATCTGTGTAATTTTCTGAGGTTGTGAAATTCGTTTAATCCTTGTCTAAGTGGAATAGTTATGTTTGTGGTCAGCCTTGGCGTTAACATTCTGGAATTCGAACGATCTTCCCCGAATTTCTACTAGTTTCGTATTATAACATTGATTATAGCAGCTTTAGAAAATTTTCACACGACACGAATGAATTCGATTCTTCTTGAATAAATATGTAAATATCGAGCATTCATAAAATTAAATGAGTAATATTTATGAAATAAAATAAATTGATTCGTGTTGGAGTATTAAATAACGAAATGAGATTGAAATCTTCGGTTAAACGGAGCCGCCATTCCACTTTACTCGCTGCGAACCACTCGGACGATTTCCATTAAGATAATTATATCGATCTGTTCTTAATATAATGCCGGATCGAGGGATAAATATAACGGCGAAGTGATTGTACGAAACCGGCCAGTGTGGGACGAAAGCGCGAGAAAAGGACTCGATGAGTCATTCGGACGAGTCACTGTATCCACTATATACTCGCATTAACATATATCGATTCTTCTTGCTACGATGCGTAATCTCCCGTATCGTTACTGGTGCCATCTACCTCTCCACCTCTTCTTTCCTTCTCCCCTTCTTTTCCATAATGTCGTCACGCCTCTAACGTTTTCTAACTGAAGTTGAATGCGCTCTATTCCCAGAGAAGATTACGAGTCATCGTAACGTGTTAAGGATGCGTATAAAATGTGTATAATAATAAAACTGATAATTGAAGAAGTAAAAATACGATAAAATTTCGATAGTAATCCCGACTATTTTTACTTGCAAATAAAATGCGGTAATAAAATTATTTCTGAAGAGGTAAAAATACTTTTGCTATTTCTTTTTTTAATTATAAAAAGTTTCCATATTTTAATAATTTTAATAATTCCTCTCTTCTCTTCGCTTTATAAACGCTCGAGAGTAAAATACCGAGAAAGAGAGAGAGAGAGAAAAGGATCAAATTACAAAGGATATATGGGAAAAAGAAAAGAGAGGAGAAATAAGACTTCGCATCGTATCGTTCTGTTTACCGATCGGGCAATTCGTGATTCCGATGGGGCAGATTAGCGTGAAAGGTATAAAGGGATGGTGTCATTGGACACGTATGTGTATCCTTTGTGGTATCGTGTCAGTTGGATGCGCCGGTTCGCCACGCGTGGCGAGATTAGAAGGCAGCGATTAGAGTGAGCGCTTGTAGATATTTGCATATCGCGTAGCCTCCTATCCCCCCCTCCGACATTGTTAATTCCTGAATACGCTACTGTGGACACGGATTCGCAAATTCCACAGCATCCACAGCTGATCTTCACGTATATTTTACCCACGTATATTCCGCACCTCGTGAAATAGAAATATCTCGACCACTTGATGTACATATATAGGGTGTCCCAAAAATCGATTGGAGATTCTTGAGATAATTTTCAAAAACTTTCATTGATTAAATAAAAATATAGTTTCATTTTATTTAATGTAGTTGACGAACAATTAATACATTTCGAAGAAAGCGTGTTGAATAAAATCGAACAAATATTTTTTTCATCGAAAATTATATCACGAGAAATGGATAAGTAAATATGTAATATTCGCGCTTTCTTCGAGATATGTTTGTTAATTTGGTCGATTATTTTTTTTTTTTTTTATCGCTTGAAGGAATCTTCAGTTTACGAGTTTTCCAACATTTTTCGAAACACCTGTATACATGGAATATCGAGGTCGAGAGAAAAATTGTAGGAATCTTCGGAGAATATGATCGATGGAAATGAAGGGCTTGACAGATAGCGAGTATAACAAGCGTTTTCCATTTTTGTGGAGAATCGAGTTGCATCGAGTGAATTTTGGTGGTCAATGGTTTCGAAATTTTAAGTAAGCGAAAGAGAAACGAGATAGTGTCATTTTAAATGATAAATTTAACAGTTGTACGATACACTTGAAAGCAATTCTGCGCTCGTGCTTCTCTCTTTTTTCTTTTTTTTTTTGTAATATTCAAATTCGATACTACGTGTCTCACACACGCTAAAGGATTTTTAACGCGTGCAAACATGCACCGAATTAGCAAACGAAGAATGCAGGTGATGGTTATAATTCATTGGAAAGGCTGCTTGTTACGCGCTATTGAACAACAACGAATGAAAACGAATATTCGAGCGTCAAATTTTACCTCGTTTGTTTAATTAGTGGTTTTAGAAAATCTTTTGCGCGTTTCTCTCGGGAGAAAGAAATTTCGAGGAAAGGGATGGTTTCGTCCTACGCGGCGGCGGATGGAAGATTTAACGAAAAATTGGCAATATTCAATCTATGGATGTTCAACGTGCACGACACGAGCGCGTAATAAAATATTCGTGGCCTAATTATGAGACTAATCACCGGGATAACGTTAACGTTACAAAACAATTCGGCACGATACATTGAACCGCAACATTGAAATATCACATGTAATTAGCATACTCTACGCATAAATTACCACGCAAATTAACTTATGCAACGCAAACATAACGTACAGCTTGTTTGCAAATGATCACCCACCGCGCGTGCACCGATATATCGGATCAAAGGCGGATAAAATTTGAATACGTAACTGACCAACCACCAACCATATATCCAATCAAAAAATTTCAACGAACGGTTTGAAAAATTGTTTATTCAAATTTCCACAACAAATTTCGTCGGCTACTTTTACCATTAATAATAATAATAATAATAATAATAATAAATTAGTTATCGAATTAGTAACGTTTATTCTCGACTCGAAACACGCACCAAAACAATGCCACGAAAAAGATAACACGGGAACCGTTAAACTGGTCACGGTTTATTTTTAACCACAAGTGGTAATCAACACACGTGACCTCGCTTAATTACACCACGTGCCCGTCGTCTACTCATCGTTGCGGTTACACGTGTAACCGTTGCGCCGTCGCTTAAAGATCTGGATCGACGAGTAAAAACGAATCGGCTCTCCGTAAACGCGAGAACGTCGTGGGCCAAGGCGAACAAAGAGAGGCTGGCGTTAAAACCGGGAGATACGTATCGTTGTGTATCGAGTGGTGGTAGTAGGACAGTGTGGGTAGCGGTGGCACGACTTATATGCACGCAACCGGTAAGGTAGGAGACGGAGGAGTCGCCTCGGTGTATTAGTCACCGTTCAACTCGCGGCTACGCGACCCGAACCATTGAAATTTTCAGCCGCATCGTGGCTGTCGATATAAAATGGCCGTAATATTTATATCGTGACACGCGTGTGTGTCTCTCTCAACGTGATCGGCCGAGGAAAACGTGATCGCGTGCAACTGCGGCGAAAAACTGAGACCCGGCCCCCCTCCTTCTCCCCTCCCCTTAAAAGTGTATTCGAATCACGAGCTCCGCTCGAGTCGAGGTATCTGTATCTAAAGTGTCCGTATTGAAAGTGAAATCGCGTGAACAAGTCGTTCTTTAACCCCCGCCTTTTATTCCATCCGCGTGTATATTCGCCGGGTGAATCGAAAAGTTGGTATGCTAAGTGAATACATGATTGGAATAGGGATTTGGAACGGGCGTAGATTTTTCGCGATCGATTCGTTTTTTCTTTCTTTTATTTTCTATTTTCTCGCGCTTTGAGCAAGAATTTTTAACAGAATAGAAAAGAGTCGGGGTTTGATGAATTTTTCTTCCCTGTTTCGTGAAAACAAGAGTTTATTTTACAGCAATACGCTCACTTTAGAGTTTGTGAATTTTATTTTTTATCTCAAGAGAGAATTAGAGTTTCTAAAGTTGCAAGTTTAATAAAATAGAATTATATGACGAATTATATTTTTGTCTACTTTATGTTTTTCACAAGAAACTTTCTTTACTTTCTCGTAATGGATGATTTTCTATCTCGTGTTTTCGTGAAAATACGATTTCATTATGAGTTCTCGCAATGCGTTCACTTCGGAACTTTTTTATTTCATTTTCGATCTCTTGAAAGAATTACACTTTCCAAAGTTGGAATAGTAGTATCGATGAATTCCATTTTTTTTTTTTTTTGGACGAATTGACACGAAATTGGTCTTGGAAATTGTTGGATCTCACTTTCTCGCGTCCCTTGAACGTTGAAACGTCGATGAAGGGCTCGTAGGCGATCTTAAATTGCGGAGAAAATGCGGATAATTGTAACAACTGTAACGTAACGTTCCATCAGGATCGAGTCTTGACTCGCCGACATTCTTCGTGTATGGAGATTAATGGTGGACATTAGAAGGGTAGGTGGGCGTTCGTCAAAACGAACGAACGGTTTCTGCGACGTGGAAGCCGCTTCCACCCGTATATAACAAGTGCTCGAGCATTGGCGTAGGCGCTCGTTTCACGCTTGATGGCCGTCAAAGCTGGTAGTAGAACGCGTTTCCGATTTCATCCACGATTAAAACTTTATGCTAATCGAGGAGCCACGCTCAATTATCCCTCCCGTTATCGTTTGATCGATCTATCGCCACGTTCGAATCGAAGTTTTAAACGAACGATTGTTCAGTATCGACAGGCTTGAAAAAAGAGAATATTTATTTGGAAGTGGAAATGTTCGTAATTGTATTCGATTAACGCCATTTTTCTTTTCTTTTTTTTTTTTTTCTTCTAAAATCGAAATCATCGTCGTTGAAAACTTTAACGATTGTTCGAGAATATTCATTTGGAAAACGAAATGGAAATTTGCATTAATTTTTCTTTTCTTCTTCTTCTTCTAAAATCGAAATCATCATCGCTGAAAACTCGTCGTCGAATCACCGAGGCGTGTAAATCTACTTATTTAAGAAAGATAAATTGTTCCGATTATATTTCATGGAATTATACGGTCCCTGAATTTCAAGTTTTTTTTTTCCTTTTTTGCACAGTAAATTAAATAGACGAAACTTATTTAACATCCACTCGTGTTTTTCCAACAAACTTTCTGGGAAATATAACCACTTTCTTCCCCTTCTGCGAGACCACAATGGGAAGGACGTTCTTAAAGTTTCATCACGGATTTCTAAATAAGCAGACACAACTCTTGTATATTTCACTCGCATTAAACTTCCGAAAATACAGGCGTGGGTCAAAGGAGATACATAGAGTGCAGCACATGTACAACTTCCATATCACGTAACTGTCGTAAAACTCGAGAGAAGTGGAACGATTAAATTTATCTCCCTCGTTTTCGAAGTACGTTTCTTCTTTCGCGTTCACGCGAATCGACTTAAAAAAAAATATTCAACTGTTCGATATTTGAAAAAAAAAAATTCTCCTTGTTCCAGATAAATTCGTTTAATTAATCTTCAAAAAAAAAAAAAATAATCCGTTTCTATGATGCAATAATATCAGATATCTTTAATATCCCTCCTCTCAATAAAACGATAAAGGCGAGTCTGAAACCGACTCGTGGATCGCATAAAATTACACGGTGCAATCTCGATTTCAATGATCTCGGCGGAAAAACGTATTCTTACCGATTGCGCGACTTGCCACGCTGCCACCACTTCCGGAAACGTGTCCCAACATGGCGATCCGATGTGGAAAATTTAACCCTTTGCACTTTGTATTTATATTTAAGAATCCGACCGATTTGGAATTTTTTTTTTTTCCTATTCGAACGAATATTCAAAATGAAAACATTTTTCTGGGAATATATTAAGTTAACTTTCCGTTTTAGTAAGGAAAATTTTGAAAAATGCATAAATTATCGTTGGAGGCTACTCGAAACTGTCGAAAATAAAAGTCAGGGCTTCACAATTTATGTTGTTTGTGTTTTTTATTTTTCTTTGAAGATTTTTTTATAAACAAATAAAAGAGGAAAAATCTTTTATCATTTTTTATTTTATATATACACACACACACACACATTTAAACTAAAAAAAGAAAAACATTGTAAATATATGTATAACGATAAAATGTAGGATGGCGAGATACGAGTGCAAAGGGTTAATAATCAAACTTACTTCCACGATTAAAAATTTTATTTATAATAATAATAATAATAATAATAATAATAGGAAATAATTGTAACGGCCGAGATTATACGGCTCGACTAATAAGCTGAATCGAGTAAATGTTATTTCAACGAGTAATTTGCTTGAAGTAAACTTTTTATTTCACTTTTTCAACTTTTTAAATGCCCAACTCGGAATTCTACGGATGATCGATTTCTCGAAGAAGAAACGGTCTCGAAAGGGAATCGCAACGATGATATATCATCGAGCCAATCTTCGAACACCGTGTTCCGATTTCACGGTATATTACTGCACGTAATATACCAAGTATTTCCGTTCCGTTGCGTTAAACATTCCGACGATACAAAATACAACGGGGATTAGATTTTGATCTCTCGCTCGCTATTTCTAAACACAAAATCCGAAAGAGAAACGATGATTTATCACGCAGCGTAATAGGAACGTGTTACAACCGGTGGATACTTCAACTTTAATCACAAGAAAGGATTTCATCATCCACTGATTTATTATCGCGTCGCGTTTTATTTCTCTCGAATTAACGAAGTGTCGAATCTCCAGAAATTCCAATTTTATATATATATATATCAAGATTGATATACACAGCGTGCGTTACATCCGATGAAAGAAGGAAAGAGCGGAGTGTTAAAAGTTGGCTGGCGTTACAACGAATCGAGACAACGAGGATGGAACGCTCGAATTCGGCGAAAGTGTTGCTTCTCCTCGCGTTGCTCGTGGGGCAACGAGCCTCGACTACTGTTTCAACGGTGAGTGGCCACCGAAATCTTTTCGAAGCCTCGACATTGAAACGCGGCTACGCGATGATCGAGCAGTGTCGTCGTACATTCATCCAACTCTCCATTAACAGTTCTGTATATTGGATCGAATCGCGATTAATCACTGTGGGGATGTCAGAGTTTAATGGACGTGTTGTTACCTGGGATATAGAGGCGAGAATGGCTGGATTAATTTCGTCGAGCATCGTGTGCGGTTACGCGTCGAATTTTCGTATCATCGCTGGAAAATCGTTTTCCAGATTTTAACACGCTCGATCAGATAAATGGATACGCAAATGTTGCGCGTGAATTCGAAATTGCGGCCATGAAAGTTGAAAGAAAGATTGGATCGAAAGATGCCTGGTCCTTATCGATCGAACCGTGGTTGACCTTCGATTCGGTCAACCAAACTGCATAGTCTCCACGTTTGAATCCACATTTGATCGATATTTCCACCGATTACACTAGGGGCTGGCTGCAACAGCTGGCTGTTACAGGTGTGGCTCATTTGAATATTATGTGGAACAGCTGGTCCACATCTTCTCGAACGTATTGTCCTTCGTTCCGCAGAGCAGCTTGGAACAAACCTGCTTCAAATATGTAAATGTTGCGTTTCGTGTACGCTTGTTCCATCGGAATCCGTGCGCTCTATCCACGTTTATTCAAATCCACGTATCCTGTGTTCCAAATGGGGAAGGAAATAAGTATTGCGACGTTACGAGTTTCAAGTGGAAAATTCATTCCACTTTTTATACATTCACAATTTTTTTCACGAGATCAAAATTTAATAAACCGATCCAGTTTCGTTTCAATCACCGAATTTCACACGGTCGAGAAGTAATAATATTTCTCCGATTCCGAAACAAGCAAGTATCGCAGTACGAGCGCGATAGTATCGCGCTATAGTTACGACAATCCAGAGCCACGCCCTATATTCACGACACACGAAGGAAGGAAGAGAGAAGAAAGAACAGGGGTCAAAGCGAAAGAGAAAAATTATTCGTGCTGTGCTGGTTTCACGATGGCTTTCTCCTCCTCCTCCTTCTCCTCCTCCTTCTCCTCGTTTGGAAATTCTTCCGAACGCCGAAACTAGGCTCGATATCGGTGAATACACAGTCGTTTCGCGTCGATTTACGAGGGGACATTACAACAATTGTTCCCCCTTTACGTATTATCCCCCGCATAATTTCGCGATCGATTCGAGAGGATAATCTCGGCTGAGGAAACGAACGCGTTTAACCGGTTGCGTGGTTCAAGCTTGACCGAGTTACCTAATAATTTTAGATCGTCGAGCCGGCATGAAATTACACGGCATTATATCGCCGCTTGATGGACACGCGGTTACGTGATACACAGCTTTTGCTGTCGTTCGTGTTCCTTGCCGAGATAGAGGGCAAGATTACGCCGTTCGATTAAGATACATGGAACGTTCAATTTTTTGAAGAAATCATTTCAAAAATTAAGTTTAACTTTGGTGTTGCTGTTCACCGGTGGAAAAAAGTCTGGCGGAACGATCTATCACAATAATAGTGGAAGAGATATTATAATTCGATATATTCCAAAATCATTTTCATTTACGTTAGAATAATAATCATCGTAAGCTATTAAGTATGTAATATGTCCATTATCTTGACCATTTGAATCGTTAAATATCGCTAATAAGAGAATTCTTTGGATTCTGTCTATGCTAATGTATCGAGATACAGATCGTCATTTTGGATCGGTATACGTGACAAATACCATCAAGAAACAAGAAATGCGTGTGTAAAGAAGGCGTTTCCTTCCAAATTGGACCGATCAGACCCGCATTCCTTTCCCCTGTGACTTCTTTCCACCAGTGAACAGTATGTAAGGTTCGAATTAACGTCAATATGTATTCTGGAATCTAATAACATAACCTCTCTGATCCACGTGATCGTTTCTACCGTCCCTTCGGATTTCGGGTTAAATAAACGCACGAAACACGTTCCTTTCACAACACTATGTGTGTATCTACTTTATCTACTGGTGGAAAGAAGTCTTGGGTCGGCACAGGGGTAAGAGGAGTCCTTCGCTAGGACCATCTATCCCCACTTCAAACGCTTTGTTGACAATCCTGACCTTACACGCTACATAGTAGAGCTATAGTTTTAATATTCAAAGTCATGTAAAAAATTATTTTCATTTATGAAGTTTCATATACATTTTACAATTTTACAATTTATAAATTAAATTATCGTTACGAATCGTAATTGGCCTTAAGCATATTATGAGAAATAAACGAATTTTTATATTTTATACCGTTAGAATTCTTTAGATTCTGCGCCTGCGCTGGAACCGCTTATCCCCACTTCACATGCTTTGTTGATAATTCTGACACGCTACGCAATAGAAGAGCTATAATTTGAATGCTCAAAATCATGTAAAAATTATTTTCATTTATGAACGTTACGTTATACGATAATCATCACGAGTCTGGAAGTTGTAATATTTTCGAAACTACTATCTATAATATGTCCAGCTTATTCGTACGCGTAAAATTATCATCTTAATTACTTAAACTAATAAATTATCGTTACAAGTCCGCAAATTGCCACGAGACTTCTTTCCACCAGATATAACATCGATGAAAACATTTATATTGAAGAAATGTGGAAAATTTCCTCTCCGTTTTTCATGCTGTTTGGAAATCCTCAATGACGCACGTCGTTCGTCGTGCAGAGCGTGAAATTTGCGCTCGAAATACGTAATGTTAATCGTATTAACGAATCGTAACCGCAACAGCGATGCTCGCTTCGTTAATTAATGGTAATGGCGGAACGAGGGAGAAAAGGTAGACATGATAAACCGTTTGTTCGTAGGATCGAGCGAGGAATGTGTCTGAAAGGTTTACGTCCACCACTACACTGACGGTGAATATCAGGGACGACGATGATCAAGATCCTTCGTTCATCTACCAAGGCTGCATGCTGTTGGACGGCGCGTGCATTAATCCGGAATATTCAGCGTCGGTATGCGTACATTTATTCCTTTAACGCACAGTTATGAATTATATATATATACGTGTTTGAACCTCGTCGAGATGTAGACGTTGGCGCGATAATAATGTTCTCGAGGGATGAGCGGTGCGTCTCGATTAAAAAGAATTTCTCTCTTCTGCATCCTTGGAGCAAAACGCTCAATCTCGTACGCGTCTCTCTTTCCGTTTCAAAATTTTTTTCCTCTTCTCGATCAATTTCGAATTTTTTTGCGTTTGATTCGTTCGACATAAAAAAATCTAAGAAACTAGTTTTAACCAAGCGGGCCCCGATGTAACGATACGAACAATCGACGAACACGACTCTCTCTCTCTCTC